GCTATGTTTGTCAAAACCTTTTTTTATATTACTGTGTTCTCTTATTCTGGCCTTCAAAAGCCTCACTGTCCTTCCTACATATTGGAGGTGGCACGGGCATTCTAAAACATACACCATATGTGAAGAGTTACAAGAAACCAACAAATCAATTTTATATTCTTTATTAGTGGATGTAGAACAAACATTTTTTCTTTTCTTTTTATGTTCTCTTTTAATAGTATTACATGCCTTACACTTATTGCAATGGAAAAAACCTTCTATTTCAGGGAATAAATTTAACTTTTTTGGTGGATCTATAACATTATGGACGATTCTAGTTCTCAATGACCTATTTTTCCTGTATACAAATCTTGGTCTTTTTGGAATAATATTTTTTAACACCTCATCTTTCAACAAGATTGGCCAATATTTTTTAAAAAATATTTTCCACCTTTTTATATTGATTATTATAATTCGGAACAAAAGATATATCATCGAATTTATTCTCTCTGCCTTCTTTCATATGTGCCCCTCTCACCTCCTGCAGAGATTAAAGGCATTCCTAAGACAGGCTGGAGCCACACCAGCTCCGGCCCGCCCTGGTTGCCTAGGCGACTAGGGGGCGTCCGACATCAGTTTAAGAGGCTGATGCCAGGGCTCCCAGGGAATTCACTGCTGTGTAGCTATGGAAGAAGCCCGAGCTGCAGCCGGGACCTTCGTGGCCAGGCTCTGCAGAGACCCAAGCCTGCCTAAGACCCCCCCTCAGAGCAGGGGAAGACTGCCTGCTAGCCATCAGAGATCCGTGAGTACATGCTCTCTCCCTGCTTCACTTGAACTGTTCCTGTGCTACCCCAACACCACCCCCCTGTTGGATTACAATTGCTACAGAGACTCACACCAACCCCCCTGTTGGATTACTTGCTACAGAGACTCTTCCTTGGCTCTCGGTGTTGGACTTTAAGTGTGTTGGTCCCTCCTTGTAGCCCTGTATGGGTGTATTCACCCTCCCTGCGAACTCACCTATTCAGGGACTGTCATCTGTTTGCCTCAATAAAGCTTTGTGCGTTTGCCATCTACTCTGTGTGTTCTGTCCTGCCTACCCTCCGTCACATGGTTATTTAATAAGAGCGCCTCTCAATCTTTATTATTAATATATTCCCTTTCTTTCTCAAGAAAGGGTCTATCATACCCCTTCTCAATAAACCTCTCAATCAATAGATTAATTTGATCCAGAAAATCATCTTTCTCACTGCAGTTTCTTTTAATTCTGGTAAATTGACTTCTAGGAGTACTATATAACCATCTAGGATGATGACAACTAGAAATAGCTATTTGTATCTATATCTTTAAAGAAAGAGTTAGAATCTGTTCTTTACTTTTAAATAATGTCAAATCCAAAACGTTAACCTGTTTGAAATCACTCATGACAGTAAATTTCAACCCATATTTATTAATATTGATATATTTGATGAATTTATCTAATTCTTCTAATGTACCTCTCCATATCATAACAATATCATCAATATATCTTTTTACAGCACCATATTTCACCATTTTTCATAAATACATTCCTCCACCCTTTTAGCCATTACCAAATTTGCCACACTGGGTGCATATTTAGCTCCCATAGCAACACCTTTGCACTGCTGAAAAAATGTGTTATTATACCAGAAAAAGTTATTAGTCATAGCAAATTCCAATAACTCAATAATAAAACCTCTCAGAACTCTTTTTAATTTTGTCTTATTCTTTAGTTCTGCACTTGCAGATTAAGATCTGGATGGCAATATCTCTGCTAAAACAGGAGAAAGAAATGTGTGTAACCTAAGATCCTGTCATTTAGGTCTGTGTTCACAGCATAGCAGCAAACCAGCTGAAACTTTAAATTTCCTTGCTCGTCACCTGTAAAAGCACACATGTATAACGGCTCATGTACACTACAGCTGATAAAGTCACGTTTAGGAGTGGTTCAGCGTTTTTTTCAGCAGCCCCTGAGCTCACCCTAATGTTTCAACTGCAAAAGCTTGTAAACGCGGCAAATTGCGTTTATATGCATTTGTGTCTGAAAATTTTTTGTAACTCTTCCAGTTTCCGATGCTGTCCAGAGCCTTTTTTCATCATGAAAAATGCATGCAAAGCGTTTTCAATGTACTCAGATGGACAAAACACAGAAAACTGGATGTTCCTACCAAGCTTGTCACACATTGTAATGACCAATTCACACCTCAGACCTCTCCCACCCTTGGAAACAAAAGATATGGAAATGACCATTCACACCTCAAATTCCTCATGGAGTGGCCTTAATAACTCACTCCTCCAGACACCTTCCCACCCTTGTAAAAAAAGAAATGTTAATGAGCAACTCACACCTAAGCTAATTTCAACACATACTGCTGTCTCTGCTTCTACTCTCTGTATTTCTCTGAAAGAGTCTGAAATAGTTAATAATTTACCACTTTTCAGTGCATTCTGGGCATTCTGGAGGTTCTCCTGTGCTTATTTGTAAAAAATGCTTCTAAACGCAAACGCACATAAACGTGTGTAAACGCGCATAAACGCATTATGCAAACACAGCTAAACAGACATTTTTTAACCTACATTTTCCAGCAGTCAGTTTCCATTGTTCAGAAGTGTCCCTTGTACATGGGGCCTAAGAGCCGCTGATGTTGGAGGGAGAGAAGGAGAGACTGCACTATGGATGCATGCAGTTTGCACGAGCCAGTGCAGCACGTCTAATGTCTGTCCCAGTTTTTGCTGACAGGTCATGCATGGCCAACACATATGGAGATGGAAAAGGAGCCCCTTTTTACCAGCTGAGCAGTAGTATGTGCTGGGATATTGGAATGCATAGCGATTTTGTAGAAAAAGTGCAGGAAAGGTGAAGTAGCCCTTGAAGCCAGATCTAGAAAATCCAAACCCAAAATAATTCATACTTCCTCTGTCTGTATGAAATGCTATGAGTATCCCCCTTTATTGATGCCACCCTCTGCACATTTTCTTTAATATGTGGTGATGTACAGTGGCTGTACTGGAGAAGTACGTTGTATAAAACATTACAATTACCAGCTGTGTAATGGAAAATAAGTCACAGTTTTATTGAAGACAGAAACATAACCTGTCCTTGCACTTTATATAAACAGAGTGCTCACTGCTGCCATAATTTAATAGTTTAACTAGTTGCAGCCATTCATATTTTACAATATTTAGGCTCTTGATGTCAAACATGGCACCTGTGGCCCAACCATCTTCTACATATGCCAGGATCACCATCTTTCTTGTTGTTCTGAAATTATTCTTGGAAGTGCCCAATTATTGTCTCCTCTGTACCACAGTACCACAGCAGCCTTTCTGGTATTGGCAGTATGCATGTGAACGCTACACTTAAAGTGTTACTAAACCCAGGACCCTGCATTCACTATATCTGATCTTCCACAGAACACACAACATGGAAATGCAATTATTGTAGTAAACATAAACTGCTAAATACCTTTTCTCATCAGCAGTATATAGCAGTCTTGTGACTTGTATCAATGTCCAGCTGAGCACTGGTTAAAGCTTATAGGAGGCATTTTCATTCTGCTCTGACTGTCCTATTAGGCTGCATGACCCCCGACCCTCTGTCTGGACAGTGCTGATTGGCCCTGTGCAAATCACATGCGCCCTCCCAATGAAAAAAAACTCTCTAGCAATACTCACTAAACTAAGCATGTGCAGAGTAACTCCTAGAGCTCTGCACTATCAGCAGATGGATTTGGGACAGTAGAAGAAGGGGAGGCTCAGAAACAGCCTTTTTACACAATGCGGAGGATTAACCCCTTAGGTTCCACAGTGAGTATAACAAGCATGATTTACTGCATATACAGGCTGATTTTACAGTTGTGGGTTTAGTAACTCTTTAAAGTGGTACCTTGTCCTTAACATGCCCCATTGTCTAGTCACATCTCACATTTAATGAACATGCTTCTAGTTAGGCAATCTGCTCCATATTTATTTGCCGTCCTTATCCACCCATTATCACTGTTAAGAAATTATATTTAACTTGCCCATCTGCCATAGCAACATAGTGTTACAAAATGTTTAAATTCCATCTTTTCAACAGATGAACACAACGTCACTCTCAGTGTACAGCTATTTCAGACTATATAATATTATGTAACCCTTATCGTAAAAACAAAATTACACTTCTGTGCCAATATCTTGTTTCACCACCATTTTATTGGGAAATAAAGGTTCAATGGACATCCCTATGGTGGTGAAATAGAGTAACAATATTGACAATTATTTTTCTATATTTTTTTATTTATTTATATTTTGGCTTTTCTGGCCACCTCTGGATACTTGCAAAGCACAGTAAAAGATGTGGGGTGGCAGAAGATATCTCTCTGTGGCTCAAGTAACACGCAGTAATCTCCTGTTTCTCTATAAGATCCTGATTAGTGGACTATACACTCACCAGCCAGTTTATTAGGTACACCTTGCTAGTGCCAAGGAAATATCCTCCACCCTATTACACCTTCAGTCTGAACCGTTGATACAAGGCAGGATGGATCCATGCTTTCATGTTGTTTTCGCCAAATTCTGACCCTACCATCTGAATGTCACAGCCAAAATCAAATGCCCATTCTCCTCTGACCTCAACTAGACATTTTCATCCACACAACTGCCGCTCACTGGATAGTTTCTCTTTTTCAGACCATTCTCTGTAAACCCTACAGATGGTTGTGTGTGAAAATCCCAGTAGATCAGCAGTTTCTGAAATACTCGGACCAGTCCATCTGGCACCAACAACCATGCCATGTTCAAAGTCACTTAAATCCCTTTTCTTCCCCATTCTGATGCTCGGTTTGAACTTCAGCAAGTCGTCTTCACCACGTTTAAATGCCTTAACCACCTCCTGCCCGCCATATAGTAATATGATGGACGCAAGGAGGTTCTCTCGTTCTGGGAGGACGTCATATGATGACCTCCCATTCTAACCGCGCATGCGCGGCTCCCGGAGTGCTCAGCGCGGCGATGGGCAGTGCGCTGAGTCCCTCGGACACAGCGGATCACCGATCCACGGAAAGAGCCGCAGATGTCGGCTCAGTCATGTGATCAGCTGTGTCCAATCACAGCTGATCACATGTAAACAGGGAAATGCCGGTTATCGGCATTTCTCTCCTCGCGATCTGTCATGCTGACAGCTCGTGAGGAGAGGAGAGCCGGTAATCGACATTTCTCAAAGGGGACAATTTCACTGATCATCAGAGCACTGATGATCAGTGTGCCCTGATGATCTGTGTAGCCCCAGCAGTGCCACCTATCTGTGTCCATCAATGCCAGTGCCACAGTGCCTTGTGCCAGTGCCACATCAATGCCACATATCAGTGCCTACCAGTGCACATCAGTGCCCATCTGAGCTGCCTTTCAGTGTCGCCCATCAGAGTGCCAGTCAGTGCCACCTATCAATGCCAATCATGCCAATCAGTGCCAGTCAGTGCTGCCTATCAGTGCCCGTCAGTGCCGCCTATCAGTGCTGCCTGTCAGTGCCCATCATTGATGCCTGTCAATGCCCATCAGTGCCACCTACCAGTGCCTCCTCATCAGTGCCTATCAGTGCCGCATATCAGTGTCCAACAGTGCCCATCACTACAGCCTCATTAGCGCACATCAGTGAAGCAGAAAAATTACTTATTTATAAAATTTTATAACAAAAACTAAGAAAACATTTTTTTTTTCAAAGTTTTCAGTGGTTTTTGGTTTGTTTAAGAAAAAATAAAAAACCCAGAGTTGATGAAACACCACCAAAATAAAGCTCTATTTGTCACAAAAAAATGATAAAAATTTCATATGGGTACAATATTGCATGACCGCGCAATTGTCATTCAAAGTGCAACACCGCTGCAAGCTGGAAATTGGCCTGGGCAGAAAGGGGGTATAAGTGCCCTGTAGGCTTGTGGTTAATGCATTGAGTTGCTGCCATGTGATTGGCTGATTAGCAATTTGTGTTACCAAGCAATTGAACAGGTGTCAAATGTGGCAAAGTGCCAGAGATGCCAACCCGCCACAACTTTTTTTTTTACTTACAAAACATGGAAAATTTACTGACAACCTGAAATATGACAAACTCCTATAAAGAGAGTTGATATTTCTACAATATAAACAATATTTAAACATTAACAATGCACAAGAAGTACGATAATCTGCCCTGGTTTTACAAAAAGTTAAAACAGTGTGACAAAATGTGAGCATGACTAGGAAATGAAACACCAGAGGAACCCCGAGATGGAGCAAAAAACAAGTCCTGTGGCACACGTAGCATGCTGTGGCAAACAGTGGTCATGGTCAGGTTGCACCTTACAGTGGAAGTGGCTTTAAGGGGATTAACCCCTTGGAGCCGGCGCCTCCCGGCCCTTTAAGGCTTTCAGAAGCCAAGAAGCGGGGTGTTGTTTTAGGGTCATGTGACCGCCGTGACAGTGAATCACATAATCGAAAGAGGAGATCGGGACCTTTCCGTGAGTACCAGACATGTGTGCTGGGAGTGCGCAGGCGCGCGCGCTCTCAGTATATATGTTTTTCTTAATTGCACGCAAATGTGCGGCCGCTCGGCATCAAGGCCCAGATGCCGGGAGGCCACACATTTGCGTGCGGCCAGCATGAAAGGGTTAAAGCAGAACTAAAGAGTGAAAGCCTACCTGTCCTTCGATGGCATCTTCTTCTGAGTGGCGGTCTGCATGCGCAGAAGTTAGTCATCCCGGCACTCAAGAGACCAGCCCGGCACTGCCAGCTGAGCTGCACATGCGCAGCTCAGTTTACAGCACTGGAGAAGACAATGAGCAGGCAGGTAAGAGCATTTTATTGCGGGAGAGACAGCGCATTTCTCTTCTTTGATAAAAGCCTTCCTGATTTCTGTTTCTTATAGCGGAATTTCTGTTCCATTTTAACCCCTACACGCTGGCGCCTCCCAGCCCTTTAAGGGATTTCTGATGCTGAGAGGCGGGGCGGGGTTTAGAGTCATGTGACCGGCATGATTGGCTGTCATGGCAGTCACATAATCCGAAAGGTCCCAATCGCAAGGAGAGATCGGGACTTTTCTATGGGACACCGACACATGTGCTGGGAGCACGCAGGGCACGTGCTCTCAGCACTTGTTTGTTTGCAAATGGTATGCAAACATGCAGATGTTCGGCGTCAAGGCCCAGCCTCCAAAAGGTCGCATAGTTGCGTACCATCAGCGCGAAGAGGTTAAACAGAACCTGAACCTAATCACTGTATTCACTGAACACATTTGCCACAGTCCTTGTACCGACAGTATACTCCTAATTAGTGTGCCACAAGTCACAGTTTCACAAACACACATAAACCTCAAGACAGAGGATTGTTTTACAGAAAAAAAAAAACAACTGTTAATTACATATGCTTTTCTGCACACAAAAAAAATGTATTTTGTCCAACTGAGCTTACCTTAAAAACATCAATAAAAGCAAATACTGAGATAATGAACACTTTAGTCTTTTATGTGTTGTATGTTGTATTGAACTGTATCAGGTTGCCTTTGATGTATGAACACAGTTTTGGTCCACTACAATAGTTTACTTCATTGGTTTCTCCCTCTGTCCTCCCCACCTGTTTAAAGTGGTTGTAAAGGCTGAAGGTTTTTTTTACCTTCATACATTCTACGCATGAAGGTAGAAAACCTACTGTATGCAGCATTGCCCCCAGCCCCCTCAATACTTATATGAGCCCCAATGCGATCCAGTGATGTGAATGACAGCCTCAGCTATCCCGGGTCTCTGCCTCCTCATTGGCTGAGATAGCAAGCAGGAGCCACAGCCAGCCAGCCAATGAGGAGAGAGAGGAGGCTGCGGCTCCGTGTGTGAACAGACAGATGGAGCAGAGGGTGCCCCCATAGCAAGCTGCTTGCTGTGGGGGCACCCGACAGAAAGGATGAGCCAGGAGAGCCTGCAGGGGACCGGAGAAGAGGAGGATCCAGGCTGCTCTCTGCAAAACCACTGCACACAGTAGGTAAGAATAGACTTTTTTTTGTTATTTTCCAAAATGATAGTTTACTTCCAGCTACTCCCTCCCTATTTCTTCCATGTTCCCCCAGTCAGTGTTAGTTCTTCAAAGAGATAGGGCTTGGGAAAGTGATTGTCTTCTTGCATCTTAAAAGACTGGAAAGCATCTTCATTACTTCACTTAGCTGAAGCAAAATTGCATCGGATTGAACTTCTGTGTCTTATTTAACAGTCAAAGTTACTAAACCCAGGACCCTGCATTCACTATATCTGATCTCCCACAACACACACTACAAGGAAATGCAATTATTTTAGTAAATATAAACTGCTAAATACCTTTTCTCATCAGCAGTTGGAGCAGTCTTGTGACTTTTATCACTGTCCATCACAGCACTGGTTAAAGCGTGTAGGAGGAGTTTTCTTTCTGCTCTAGGAGGATGCAGAACCCCTGACCTCTGTCTGAACAGTGCTGATTGGCCCTGTAATCACATGCACTCTCCTAAGAAAATAAACCTCTTTAGCAATACACATAAAACTGAGCATGTGCAGAGTGTCTCCACATGATATGTCTTATCAGGAGATAAGAGGGGGACACTGGAAGAAGGGGAGGATCAGAGATGTCAGGGTCAAACAGCAGTTTTACACAAGGCATTAACCCCTTTGGTTCCACAGTGAGTATAATAAGCAGGCTTTACTGCATACAAAGACTGATGTTACTGTTATTGGTTTAGTAACACTTTAAGCTGCTTGTGGATGGTGCCAAGTCAGCAGGTGACCATACTGCCAAGACAGACTGGGTCTATGAAGGTATAAAGCAGCATTTGAAACACAACAATGGCTTTCATTATAAAAAGTGTACCCTCACAAATACTTTATTCTGTTAAAAAAATTACCTGAACCATTATGCATACAAACTGCTTGAAAGGAAAATTGTCATGTTGCACATTTTACAGTTTCAGAGCTGAGTGCTGTGTAAATAACAAAAATTAAAAACAACATAACAAACCAGATTTCATGTTACTCAGTTTGGGCCTGGGATGTCCATGGGAATGCAGTAAAAATGGTTCAGCAAGAGAGTTGATTGGCAGCCCAAGATGGATGTTAAAGTGTTACTAAACCCACAACAGTAAAATCAGTCTGTATATGCAGTAAACCAGTCTTGTTATACTCACTGTGGAACCTAAGGGGTTAATCCTCTGCAATGTGTAAAAAGGATGATTGATCCGGACTGCTCTGATCCTCCCCTTCTTCTACTGTCCCCAATTCATCTGCTGATAGCCCTAGGAGTCACTCCGCACATGCATAGTTTGATGTACATTGCTAGAGTTTATTTTTCCTTTGGGAGAGTGCATGTGATCAGCACAGGGCCAATTAGCACTATCCAGAGGGTCAGGGGTCATGCAGCCTCATAGGTTAGTCAGAGGAGAATGAAAACTCCTCCTACAACATTAACCAGTGCTCAGTCAGACACTGAGAGAAGTCACAAGACTGCTATATAAGGTACTGCTGATAAGAAAAGGTATTTTTAAGTTTATAATTACAAAAATACAGTATTTGAATTTCCATGTTCTGTCTACTGTGGGAGACCAGGTATAGTGCATGCAGGGTCATGGGTTTAGTAACACTTTAATGCTAGAGGCCACAGCTACAAATACAACATTATAATAAAATGTGCAGCACTTAAAAATAATAAATCAGTTATAAATTAACATGTATCAAATGGGCAAATCTGTGTGATATTACATATAAAATAATAACCCAAAAAGAATGTATAAGACCCAAAATAAGTCCACCATGAAAAGTGTAAATCCAGTGTGCCCCCCCCCCCCCCCCCACACACACAATTTGTTTTACTTTTTAACAAGTCCTTCCAAGCACACACAAAAGGAAAATAGTGTGAAAGTCGCTCCACTAATCCACCACAGTGCTTGCAGATTCACCTTACGGTATGGTATGTCCACCGATTAGGGAATGTTCACACAAGCATTCAGGATATATCTTTCTCAAATTGCAAAGCTCCCCTGTACCTTACATCTCAGGGACATCCACAGAAAGAGATAAAAGGACTCTCATAGTGTAGTAGTACAAAATCTTCACAACTTATTAAGATTAAAATACTCCCAAAATTAAAAAAAAATTCATGCAATATCATACAATCCATGCGGGCCATCCACCTCCACTCGTGTCGAAGAGTAATCCACTTCCAGGTCTCGGTCTGCGTAACAGCGTCACCTACTGTGGCCCCCACCGACGCGTTTCATCAGGGAGAGTGGCCAAGGGAGGTGATGCCATCCACTGCCTAATTAGTGACCGAGATTGCAGTGGGGCGGATCACATACTGTACATATACAACTACAACATTATCTCTTTTTTGTAGATGTGGCTAATGATCCCTTCCGCTTCCGCTTAAAACTCCACTCCAGACAAACTCTGTCTTCTGTAATCTGTTTGGCAAATATGCAACTTTCAGAAATGTTATCTCTATTTTTCTTCTCATTTCATCAACCCCAAGAGTCA